CGAGACTAGCTCTGACAGATTCAAAATAAGCAATAAAACCCATCGCATATTACCTCAAAAGCGAAAAGACGACAAACTTAAATGAAGCCACTATGTTTATATGTAGATGAGATTTTCACAACTGAATGAATTTGCATGGTTATTCTACGAACAAGAGGTTATTCAACGGAACACAATAACTAAAGGTTACTGAAAACTTTGTTTTCTAGCAAAATATAGAGCGTTATATCCTCTAGATTTAAGGCAGTTTTTAAGTTACCTCCATCAACTAACTCTCGATATATGAAATGGATAAATGACGCAAGTTGATATACGAACTACCTGCTAGACTGGTTGTATACATCAGTAAAACCCTGATCAGAGAAGCAACTAGCTTCTTTAATACCTCAGTTTCTAATTTGATAAAACATAATACTTGCATCGAAGTAATTGGACTATTATCCGGGTGACCTAAAATAACAAGTGAAAAGGGGAGAACACTAATTACAACGATATGCCATAATGGAGGACAAAGACATGCCTGTATAACAACAATTGCGATGCCGACCCCTATAAAGACATCAACGTTGTCTTTGATGAAGACAAGTAGACTGTCAAGTTCTCCAGTGGGATCGACTGGGATATCCTGAGAAAAAAATTAGAGTTGATGACATAGGTAAAGGGACAAAAATGAATTTTTACAAGCACCTCGATAAATAGTAAAACAGGTTATACCTTCTGCCAGTGGTGATCGAGAGCAATGAAAGCCACCAAACTCGCTTCCAACAGAATAAACATTGTAGTGAGCATAGTGTACTGTGAAATTGATGTAGTCAAGGATACTAAATTTGCCCATGAATTTGAGTTTCACCAAATTAGAAACTAATTTAATGTTATGAAACTAATTAGAAACTAATTTAATGTTATGAAATGATAAAATTGAAGGCTCGCAATTCATGTAGAGATGATTGATATAAGAAAATGATTCACACATTCTTCCGAGGCTGCATTTTCATGTCTCAAACACCGACTGATAATCAAAATTGACGGACCCAAAAAGATCTGATCACCATCCACATCCATAGTTCTAATTTAGATATTCTCAATAATTATCACAATTCTGATTTCTGCTTCCCTTTTCCCCGTATCTCCATGACCAACGGAGGTTCATATTTCTCTATCATCTCGAAATTTTAGCAGTGCTCATTAACAAAAAATACCTAATTAATGACTGGTGAACTCTTTCGGCCTCCACAATGCTTCAATTGTCATGGTCATTCGATCGAAACAATTCGACTTATGAAGCAATGCACAAATTTTGTGTTGTTCGACTAACTTATGGGACCTAAAAATGTTAAAGATCAGAATCAGAAAATTAACAAAAAATTCAAAAATTTAGCTGAATTATCAACATCAAAGTTACACACATATTTAAAATATATATCTAGCATGACCAGAGATACATAAGAAAAATAATCGGAAAAAGGATACAAAGCAAAGGCAACAGCCGCTGATCGCCTCGGCAGCAATGTGACCAATGAAAGTGATACAGCACACCAAAATCCCGAATCCCATCAATGCATATATAAACCTATCCATCCATAAATACAAACTTGTAAATAAAAAAGTATAATGAAATCATCAACACCAAGTATGTAAAACGAACAGTACCAAGGAGCTGGTAGAGAGTGGAAATCGAAGCGCAGCGAGTCATCGTGTGCAGATACGACGCCGGATGCTGAATTCAGAGGGTCAATGACGTCCGCCGGCGGAGGAAATTGTTGGAGGTGGTGGTGGTGGTGCCATTGATTGAGCATAAAAGCAGAGCATACGATTATCGCCACACCAACAAACGCCTGAAGAAAATTCAGGAATTTGAGGATGAACGCCAGGCATGTATGCGAACATGGAGTTGCCATTTCTGAATTCGATTTCTCGTTTTTTTTTTTTTTTTGTCAGGTATCAGAATTCGAAATTCGAAATTCGAAATTCAGAATTGAAAAACAGTGATTCTATCGTAAAACCTAATTCAACTGTACAAGAAAAAAAGGGGATTCAGCTTTTGAGTTTGGATGAGTGGGGTTCCAATTCAATCCAATAATTCCGCGAGTCTTGACCTTTTCCATTTTGCCTTTTCTTCTTTCTTTTTATGGCAAATTACGGCCAGCCCCCTGAACTAGGCTCAAACTGCTAAAAAAATCCCTATTGTTTCGATAATTACAATCACACCCTCAATTATTTATTGTTTTACAAAAAATAACCTCATTAAGTTGCAAATTTATAAGGATAGACGACGATACATAGTTAGGGTCAATAATAGTAATTATCCAAATATAAAGGGGGGTTTTCGTAACTTGAGTAGAAATCAAGGGCTTGACCTTAATTTGCCGTTTTTTATTTGAGAAAGGAAATTTTGATTTTGGGCTTCTTTATTCGAGGCCCAATTATTAATTGTGCTTTGTTATTCCAGGCCGATTATTAATTGGGCTTTTTTATTCGAGGCCACTAATTCATTGGGCTTTTTAGTGCTAATAACTAATGGGTAGAGCTTGGTCCACTAATCTAGGCAAGAATGTTTAATATGCTACTACAAGTCTACCATGCCAACAACGAATGTAAACGAATTGAGTCGAGTCGAATGCGTAATTTTGTTCAAATTCCTCTATTGAGCTTTCAAATTTTATTTTTTGATCTGATATGATAAAGCAATCGAGTTGATGTTGCACGAGCTTTAATCGAACAGAGCACGAATCGAGCTCGAGTCGAACTTTATACCTTACTCTACGGTTTCTTTTAATTGTAACAAATCAAATCGAGCCTCAAACAAGTCTCGAACGATCTTAAATCGAACGTCTCGAGTAGTTTAGTTTACTGTATTCAATTGGTAAACCACCATTATGATGTAATAGCTTGCAAATCAAATATATAAAACCCCCATTTATTGCTGCTTTTTAGAAGATTTGCATGTATTTATTATATATACTTATTAGTTCTTCCTTACATATATTATATATATATTTGTTCACTAATTTTCATGGTGCTGGTACCAAACCATTTATTATGGGATTAATTAATAACAAATCTCTTAACTCTCCCTCTCCACAAACCCTTCTATAAAACCTACCCCTCCCATATTCTTTTCTACGTTCATTAACTCAAAAGCAACCCCGAGGAGAGAGAAAGAGATAGAGAGAGAAGTTTGAACCATGAGTACTCCTTGTTCAGCCGCCATGTTGGTTGTTCTTGTAGGTATCGCCGCCATGGGAATGGTGGTGCCGCCGGTTGAAGGTGGCAGGGCTTTCTTCGTGTTTGGTGACTCATTGGTTGATAACGGCAACAACAACTACTTGTTGACTACCGCTAGGGCCGACTCTCCGCCGTACGGGATCGACTCCCCGGACCACCGCCCCTCGGGGAGATTCTCCAATGGCTACAACATTCCTGATCTTATAAGTACTATATACAAATTTAAATTATGTTTTCTTTTCCCCTATTATTTTATTTATTTTTAATTATTTTTTTTTCTTGATGTATATAATATAGGCCAAGCAATTGGTGAAGAATCAACACTAGCTTACTTCAACCCAGAGTTGAAAGGTGAAAAACTGCTGGTTGGAGCCAACTTCGCATCTGCAGGGATTGGCATTCTTAATGACACTGGCTTTCAATTTGTCAGTCCATATACCTAAATCATTAATTTCACACACTCACGCGCTCACACGCGCACACATATGAAATGTTATTATAGAAAGAGGATGCATGCATGGTTTTATTAGATTTTGACTTTTATAATTGCATAAAATTTTTATAATCAGGCAAACATAATCAGAATCCACAAGCAATTGAGGTTGTTTCGCGAGTACCAGCGGCGCGTGAGCGCACTAATCGGAGAAGAGCAGACGCAGACGCTGGTGAACAAAGCCCTCGTTCTTGTCACCCTCGGCGGAAACGACTTCGTCAACAATTATTTCTTGACACCAATTACCCTCAGGAGGCTCCAGTATAATCTCCACGATTACTCCCGCCTTCTCGTCTCCGAATACAAATCCATTTTACTGGTAATTATTTACACATTCCTTTTTTTTTTAATGCAGTGAATCGCGATAATGAAAAATTCCTTAACGGTTTTTTTTTCCAATTGCTGACTGCAGGAGCTGTATAATTCGGGAGCCCGACGGGTTCTGGTGACCGGAACCGGACCGATAGGCTGCGTGCCGGCGGAGGTCGCCTTGAGAGGCGTCAACGGCCAATGCGCCGTGGAGCCTCAACGCGCCGCCGCCATTTACAACCCTCTGCTCACCGAAATGCTCGCAGGTCTCAATCAAGAAATCGGCTCCAACGTATTCATAGCCGCTAAGGCGTTTGAGAAGCAATACGATTTCATCAACAATCCAAAAGCCTTCGGTCTGTTAACAATCACCACCCCTTTTTTTCTTTCATTTTGTGCCCACCAAGTGTTTGATAATATGTTCGACTTTGTTTTTTTCGTGTTTTAAAAACAGGTTTTACAACGTCGAAGAGGGCCTGCTGTGGGCAGGGTCCGTACAATGGGATTGGACTTTGTATTGCAACTTCAAATCTGTGCAAGAATAGAGACGAATATGCTTTCTGGGATGCCTTTCATCCGACAGAAAAAGCGAATAGGTATATCGTTCGAGCAATAATGGAGGGTTCCGAAGCGTATATGGCACCAATGAACCTTAGTACTATTATGGAGCTCGATTCTAGGGTTTGATTTTTCCGAAATCTTATAAAGATGTTTAAAATGACTCTCGTAGGCATGGTCACAATAATCGTAGTATGTTCGTAGTTTCCGATATTCTGACCGATCGGTTTTATGAAAGATAATGGATGGTTAAGTTTTGAGTTTGTTGCTATGAATTTGCAGCACTTAGTACTTGTGACATTTCAAATTTATAACAACAAAATCATGGTGCACTAAATTGACAAAATTAACAAGACAGGTTCTCAAATCCTCAAATTCCAAATTTGAAATCATTTCAAATCCGCATCAATTCTTGATTCCATATTATGCCACAAATTTTATGGAAATTAACATGAACAAGAGAAACATTTCGAACTAAAATCAACGGAAACCATAACCAATTAAATGCCAAAAAGGTCTAGAATTCGAGCTGATTGAGATTATTCTTACGATCTGGTACTCTTTTTAGCACGCTTCCCTTGTCCTTTCTTCGGCGGTCCCTTTCCACGACGCTTCAACATTTCAAGTTTATTCAGTCGCCTGCAATCATCATCAACCATTATTTGTACTGAAATAATTTCACATAAACAAATCTTTAATCACAAATTTATATATATCATTTGCTAAAAATCTCACTCTTGTTCTTTACGGGCCAAGACAAGTGGATCATCCTTATTGATATCATAAGGGTACCACGCTGCAACTTTATCACCGATGAGCTTCTTGCGTAGTATCTTATGAGGGGATCTTTGCCCAGTCGGGTTGAGCACATGGCCAAAGATTCTAGCCCTCGCCTCTGTAACTCCTTTCGTGGCTGCTTCAGCTAGCACATTTTTCAGGCTTCCTAAGCTGCTTTTGATGATGCTCATCACTTTGATATCAAAGATTCCTAAATCAATCAGTCAAAGGGAAAACCTAGATTAAAGTGCGACGTGGGCCGATAATGCATGTTTAAATCAGTTCATTTATTCAAGAAACTGCTACAATGAAGTTATTCAATAAGGCCGCTTACATATACAGTCTGTAATATTTGTGCCTTACAACATTCAGTTATATGAAGCATCATCACAACATAAGTGGATATAATTCACTTCTCGGAGCAACATTGGATAGCTGAAAAGCATCAAATACCAGTAAAGCTAGATAACAAATTGATCTCTATTAACTATTTCATGTTAAAACATCGATACCAGTCTACTTAAGATGAGAGAATAGCATAAAGTTTCTTGAGCAGAGCAAAATCATCTCCATCGATCTTTCCTCAAATTCGAACAAAGCTAGATAACATGTAATAGTGAACCTCAATGATTTTTCACGGGCTAATTTAGTTCACTAACTAGTTGGTATTGTAGAACCGTGAATCGTGAATAAGCAAGTACCACTGAAAGAAACTTATCATCCTTATAATTTCGTCAAAATAGGCAACAACAATCTCGACGTACTTATTACTGAAAAATAATATATATAAAAAAATGATATTTGACGAATAAAATGAAATCAAAAGGGCAGAACATGTGAAAATGTGAAATCAACGATTTCAGATTTAGGTGATCATAAAAAAATACGAAACCAAACTTAATTCTAATGTTCACTTGCTTAGCTCGTATTTCAGCTCGAGTAGGCTTCGGGAACCCCCAATTTCAAATTCGAAACTGCCAATTTTCATTCACTCACAATTTCATCAGCAGATTTAACATGGAATTCAGGGGTACAGATGGTAAATTTTTTTTGACAGATGACTGGTTCAACAATTTCAGTTTGTTAACAAGTTTTTCCCAACAATTAAAACAAAACGATTTCCTAGTTTTTTCGTTTCCTTGAAATTCGTACTGTTAGCAGTTAAAACCAGAGCGAAGAGATGAATATGCGAACTGATTCAACCCTAAACTACGATCAATCAAAAGCGAAGCACTCTATTTTTACCACTGCCTAAAAAAATAGTACATAAATTAATTGCACTCCGAGATAAATACAGAAATAAGAAGATTTATCAGAACATAAATGCTAAAAGCAGAAATTAGCAGATTACCTTATGAATGCAGACTTTTGGGGGAAATCGCATCCGTGTGTCTGTGAGTTTCGTAGCCGAGAGAGAAAGCAAAGAAGGGCGGTTTGCTGTGTGGTACTGCTGCCCAACTGAACCGGGTCGGGTCGATGCAGTCAGACCATCGGGTCACGGGCTCGGCCATTTGGTCATGTTACTATATGGGTAGGGTTGGGCTCAATTTCCGATTATGTTCACGGCCCAACTCGTTTATATAGCCCATGTAATAATTGTTGGACGGTTCGGGTTTCCCCGAAAACAAATTAAACTTTAATAATTTATTAAAGTATTTATAGTTTATTTGATAATTTTATTATTATATAGGGGTTAATTTTTTATTTTTTTTTTCAAAAATCCATAAAACCCTAAACCCTGACAAATGATTTTTTTCTTTTTTTTTCGTATAGAAATTCTTCCATTTCCGTTGCTATTTTTCTTGGGCAACACTCCAATTCAAATTCTCCACTGTAATTTAAAGCTTTCTTCACTCACATTTCCTAAGCAAATCAGCCCACACTTGCCATCATGTATCGCTTTGCCACTGCTTTAGCTTCTAAAGCCAGGTACCTTTTATTATATTTTTTTTTTTTTATTCCAGACATTTTCAATTCAATTGAGCTTGTTTCGCATTTAAACCGTCAACCTAGTTTTTTTTGATAATGTTTGTTGGAATTATGTAGGATTGCCAGAGGCAGCCAATTGGTACTTTTCCACTCAAATTTTGATGCATTCTTTTTTTTTTTAGATTTTATTACCACGCTTTGTTGTTTTGATTACTTTTCATTTATACTATGTGCAGGTTGGTAATAGTAGGTTGTTGTGGAGCAGAAATTATGCTGCGAAGGAAATCAGATTTGGTGTGGAAGCTAGGGCCAGAATGCTTAGAGGCGTCGAAGAGCTCGCTGATGCTGTCAAAGTTACAATGGGTCCTAAAGTAAGGGGCATCATTTTTAAAATTTTGTTAATTAGCATTGTTGAATGTGATTATACGATAGCTAATTTCTCGTTCATGATTTTACTTATGTGTTATATTTGTTTTCAATCAAGTCCTCAAAGTGAAACTTAATCTTTGGCTGTTGGTTGTTGCGTCACATTGTCGAACGTAGTATTTAATGGTAAACTTGTGAACTTTGAAAGGTTTGTCTAAAATTGTTGGTTGAAGGTTAAATCAGATGTATCTTCTGTTATTGTTTGTTTGATTGTATAACTGGTTGATTATGTTTTTTCTTTTTTTTTTGGTTTCTTGTTTCATTTCTTATGTTGTTGTTTCAATGGTGTTTTCTTGCGCCAAGGGTCGTAATGTTGTACTGGAACAAAGTTACGGTGCTCCCAAAGTGACAAAGGATGGTGTTACTGTGGCGAAGAGCATCGAGTTCAAAGATAAAGTTATGAATGTAGGTGCTAGCCTCGTCAAACAGGTTGCAAATGCCACTAATGATGTTGCAGGAGATGGTAAATCTCTTTGACTTCGCATACGTTCTCTCTGTTTATATTGTATTTTACCTAAAAAGTATTATGTATATAACACTGGGAACCGTGTGATTTAGTGATTGTTGAGTGCTCTGTTAGGAACTTCTTTTCATTTATCAAGTTTTACAGTTGTAGAATCTCGTATTTTTGCACAAAAATGGCCACTTAACTTTTTTAATATCTTGTTCAGGTACCACGTGTGCAACCATCCTCACACGTGCAATATATTCCGAAGGATGCAAATCAGTTGCAGCTGGAATGAATGCCATGGACTTGAGGCGTGGGATCAACATGGCAGTTGATGCCGTGGTGAATAACTTGAAGAGCAGAGCAAGAATGATTAGTACATCTGAAGAGATAGCACAGGTTAGATTTATGCGTCAGAATTTAGTATATTTAACCCTCGTTCGATACTTGCACTAAAATATGCACTCCTAAAATTTTTATGAGTAGGTTGGTACAATATCGGCAAATGGAGAAAGAGAGATCGGAGAGCTTATAGCCAAGGCTATGGAGAAAGTTGGGAAAGACGGAGTTATTACTATTGCAGTGAGTAACTTTATCGGTTTGGTGCTTTTTTTCCCAAAATCCAAGAATTAAGTGAAGAACTCTTTTATTGATGAATGCTGCATATTTTACTACGTTGTTCAGGACGGAAAGACGTTATATAATGAACTGGAAGTGGTAGAAGGAATGAAGCTTGATAGAGGCTACATATCTCCTTACTTCATCACCAATCAAAAGAACCAAAAATGTGTAAGCTTCTTACATTTTTTCCGATTAGAGGCATTTTGCTCAGATGTGGCACGTTTATGATTAATGTTATTGAATACTAATGTTTCTCTTGGTTATATAACAGGAAATGGAGGATGCACTAATTCTAATCCATGAGAAGAAAATAAACAACTTAAATGCCATGGTGAAAGTGTTGGAGTTAGCGATGAAGGTAAGATAGTCAGTGCAATTGACATCTGGCTCAAGTCTAATTTTACATGAAATGTTTATTGTTTTTTCTACATTATGTCAGAGGCAAAAACCTTTGTTGATCGTTTCTGAAGATGTGGAGAGTGAAGCATTGGCTACCCTAATTCTAAACAAGCTTCGAGTTGGGCTGAAGGTGTGCCTGTGATCACTTTACATATACATTTTTTTTCCATTTCATAGTACTTAGTAGTGGCTGGTGAATCGGATATATGAATCTTATCAAACAAAAGTTCAAAATTTTGTGTGGGTCCACAGGTTTGTGCCATTAAAGCTCCAGGGTTTGGAGAAAACAGAAAGGCGTATTTACAGGACCTAGCTGTCATAACAGGAGGACAGGTAATTGACCTATTTTTATTCTTAGTTCATCCTCTCTCTATATATATGTATGTATGTCTATATATGCAGAATGCTTATTGCTCGACACTTATTATGTAGGTAATCACAAGCGAGCTAGGAATGGATCTTGAAAATTTGACGGGTGAAATGCTTGGTTCGTGCAAAAAGGTGCGATTCAACTTCTTTTACATGTATACTCTTACTTAAATCTGCTGATCTAGTAATGGGTTAAATTATCTTCTCTACATACGTTGCCGACTGTTGACTTATTTGTCCGACTATTGGACTGAATTTTCAGGTCACAGTATCAAAGGATGACACTGTTATTCTTGATGGAGCTGGTGACAAGAAGTCTATTGAAGAAAGATGTGAACAGGTTCGACGCCAATTTCTTTCTCTTTGGCCTTGTGTTCCACTTAAGTCCTTACTTCCCGTTTTCCTTTAAAAAAGAAAAAAACACCCTATTAGAACCAATGTTGAACTCATGAATTCTGGTCCGACAGTTACGATCGGGAATTGAAGTAAGCACTTCTGAATACGACAAGGAGAAACTCCAGGAAAGACTCGCTAAGCTTTCTGGTGGTGTTGCTGTCTTGAAAGTAAGATTTAACATTTTTTTTTGGGACTATGAGAACTTAATTTTTGTTTTTTTTAAATATCATTGATTTCTTCATTTAACATGTGACTCTTTTTTTGTCCATTTTAGATCGGTGGAGCCAGTGAAGTTGAGGTGGGTGAGAAGAAGGATAGAGTTACCGACGCTCTGAATGCAACAAAAGCAGCTGTTGAGGAAGGCATTGTACCTGGTAACTTGAGCTTCAATTTTCTATGTATTTTATTTTTCCGACTAGGATGATTGATTGAAATTCGAAGGAGAAGGTTCAGTAAAAGGTTTAAATTTCTCGTTTATATTTATGATTACTGATACTGCAGGTGGTGGTGTTGCTCTCCTTTATGCTTCCAAGGAACTGGAGAAGTTGCAAACTGCCAACTTTGACCAAAAAGTCGGTGTTCAGATTATCCAGAATGCCCTCAAGGTCTATATTGTTACTTAATATTGTTAAAAAATCCCTATTATTTTATATAAATATTTGTTATTTTTCGAGTATTATTGTGTCTGGTCAAACACTTTCCTGATCTGTTGTTTTTCCATTATAGGCTCCAGTACATACAATTGCATCAAACGCTGGAGTTGAGGGCTCAGTTGTTGTAGGTAAGCTATTAGAGCAGGACAATCCCGACCTTGGCTATGATGCTGCTAAAGGTATATTCTCTGCATTACCTCGATTCCATTTTTTCCGACACTAGTATTAAACTTGATTGGATTTTTTGTCAAACTGTTTGAAAAAATCTATAGTTGGTTTGATTGTATATCGGAATCGAACTTGAATAAGCAAGTGGAATTCAATACAAAACTAGCTCGAGTAGTTTAATATGTATACTAATATAAGTCAAATACATTCTCGTTCTTGATCAAAGCTTAAGATATCCATCATATGTTTGAGCAGGTGAATATGTGGACATGGTCAAGGCTGGAATAATCGATCCATTGAAGGTTATTAGAACTGCTTTGGTAGATGCTGCAAGGTAATATGACTGTTTTAACCTGTTATTGTATTTTCTCAAGACTTATATACATACATTATTCTTACTTAAAATTCGGGATGATTATCTTAATCGAACTGGGATACAGTGTGTCGTCTTTGTTAACTACCACGGAGGCTGTTGTTGTTGAACTCCCCAAGGACGAGAAAGAATCGCCGCCAACGGGGCCCGGTATGGGCGGAATGGGCTATTGAAGGAGGTGATATTTTTAAAATTTTCTTTTGAAACTCGAAATTCGTTCGCTTTTTGCAATTTTAATTATTTTAGCGAATTTCTGAAAAATATCAAATGTAGTTAATATCGAGGTGGAAAAAGGTAGGTAGTCCCTAGTTAAACAAAATCCTTTCATTTGCTTGAACTCCGATGGAACTTTGACGCGTCTTGATAGTAAATACCTCGTAAAACCGTAGCTCTTTCGATTCATTATGAAAAGTTGCTTGAGTTATAAAATCTTTTTCATCCATGTTTCAGTTAAAAGCAATATTTTGTTTTTAAAAAATAAAAAATCGGTTTTAGGAAAACTATTATCGTGTTATCATGGGTTTTATTAAGTTGAAGGGTATTTTAGTCTTTATAGAGGCCTCTTAATGTAACATATAACGTACAATCATTGATTAGCGGCCGTAGTTACATTTGTTTTTTTAATATTTGTAATGGAAGTGAGTATCTAACGCATCAGATTAATTAATTAAACAGATTAGATGCTTAATTATTTTAATCATCAGATATTTGCATTAATTAAAGTATTTTAGTCACTAGTACGGACCGTTTATACCGTTAACTGTCCTTTTCAGTTTAATAATAAAATCTTAATCAAGCAGATATTAGCAACAATATGAAATGTTAGTACAAACACAACTTTAAATTCAGAAAGTGGACCCACTTAAGGTTTCCAAACAACGTAGTTACCATATTATTTTATTACCCAATATTCCCATGAGCACTTTAATTTGTCATTACAAGTACATTATAGAATCTTGTGGTATATATAATGTATACTATACTCCTGCTAGTTAAATCATTATTAATCAGGTCACTAATTAAGTAAATGGTATTGAATTCCTTGTAAAATAAGTATCGTTTTTTATATTATATATAATAATTAGGATAAATTACTCCCTTTGAAGTAATATTAATTATTTAATAATTTGCAGACCTCCCTGGTATTGCTAATTATAAATATCATCGGAGTTATTTCTCCGTCTTACAGTTACACACTTATGACGAGAGTTGTGAGTGACAGAATCTTGAAAATTCCATAGAATATTTGTTCTAAACCTATAAAAATGCTTATATGAATATTTATACATAAAAATGTATGTATGTGTGTGCATTGAATTTCACTTTCATGGAAAGACCTGTACGGATAAGGGAGAACTGCGATTCAATTCATTTGAATAGAGAGTCAAGTTTCGTTAATTGCACATGGTATATTATATGCTATCATTTTCGTGGTTTTTCGATTTATTTTTTATTTTTATATCGGTGGAAATTATAATTGCTACTGTAATTCTAAAATATATTCTACGTATCCTCAAATTCGAAATTATTTTTTAATCCAAATGCAATTAGTAAATATCAATGTCAAAAGTTATTTTAAAAAATTAACCAGAAATGCAGAAGTCAAACAATCTTGGAAAAACCCCGATTATAATCTTGAATATATGACCCCAAAAAAAATAAAAAAATAAAAATAAAAGGCTCTTTAGGTACATGATTGAAGCATGTTGCCACTAATAACCTTGGTTATATAAATACAAATTATTTAATTTAAAAATAAGATAAATGAGAGCTGGAGATGCATAACATACAATAAATATTTCACAGTACCACTGGCACGATTGACACTGTTGTGATACAATTTGCTCATAATAAGACATTTAACCATTATTTAAAAGTAGTTTACATCCATGTTCTTGAGAAAATTTCCTGATAATGAAACACAAACATGTACAATGACATTATAATATATAAAATATAGTCCTGTGTAATTTACTAAATTTATAATATTATTAAAATAGCTGTTAGTTAAGAGTGGATGAAATTTGGGGTGGGAAATTGTGCTACTATGACAGAAAACAATGTATGTAATGAATAAATACATTACCGTCACTAGTTTTCGGCCTTATTCTCCGTCACAATTATCAAATATCATAATATTATCGGTAAATTTCAATCACTCGAGGTACGCTCAAATTATAAAAAACTCTACTATGTTCAGGTAATTATAATCACATTCCTTAACTATAAATATTTTTACACATTTATTGTTGCAGAATTAAATATAGTAAAATTTTCTACATATATATAAAATGTTCTTCAGTTACTAACTGTTTTACCTCATTCAAGCGCAATATTTTAAAACCAAATGATCATAAGATGTGTTTGTTAAATAATAAATATCAGATTGCGCTGTATCATAAACTCCATTTTTGCACGAACAAGTATAATCTAGAGAACATTACAATATTTAGAAAACTTTATTTAATTTAACATCATAAGATGGTGTGAGAAAATTCAAAATTAAGGTGAATAATATTATCTACTAATATTATACAAAGTTCGATAAATGTAAACTGCACTAAACAAGTTATTTACAATAATTTCTATCTAAATTATGTCCATAAAAAAAACCGAATTCGAATCATTAGACATGGTCATTATATTCTACCGACTAAGACACATTAAAAGAGATGAGAGTGAGACCTTATCTTCCTGCAAAAAAAATTAATTTAAAAAAAAAACAAAATATTGTTTTAAATATATACAAAACAAAATTAAAAGAAGACATATAAATATAAATATAAATATATATATATATATATCCTAGAGAGAGAAACAAAAGGCACTAAAGGAAATAAGTCTACCCTCTCCTCTCCATTCACACTCCTCAAAAACTTTCTTCATTTGGCAAAGAATATAAACAATTCCTAGCTGAGAAAGGAAACACGGATTTCGTGTGTTTGGGCAATTTCAACACTTTGTTTCAGAATTTTCAATTGAACTTTTTTTTTTCACTTCGCCGGTGATTGAATTTAGCCCTACCGGAGATACGGCGATAGGATGAATCACCGGGTGCCGGATTTTCATGAGATGGAAGAGGATTGTGCAATTCCGACTTCTGCTGGTTTGTTCAGACCCAGGAAAACTGCTATGTGAGATATTTTTGCTACTTTGCGCCGATTAATTTTTTCAAATACTCTGAAAATCTGAATTGTGTGTGTATATGAGTTAGGGTTTAATTTGTGTGTTTTTTATTGTAGAGAGGAGGATGAAATTATGGAGCTGATGTGGCAGAACGGCCAGGTTATGGTCCAGAAATCAGCAAACAGGGCTCCGTATGTCGGCGGCGGCGAAGCGGCGGAGCAAGCGGTGGTGAGAGAGATCCGGGGGGAGTGGAGCGGAGGAGGGGCAGCATTTGTTTATGCAGGAGGACGAGATGGCGTCTTGGCTACAGTACCCGATTGAGGACTCCTCCTTCACTCGTGATTTGTACGCGGATGATCTTTTCTACACAGCACCAGTCACCAGCGCCGCTCCACCTCAGTCCGTCGCGGAGATCCGTCCCCAACCGGCGCCGCCTCGCCCGCCTCCTGTCCCACCGCCGCCTCAGAAATCTGGAGTTTCCCCTCACTTGCATACTTTCGGGCATTTCTCGAGGCTTCCGAGCAGGCCGAGGATCGAGCCGGCGTCGAAGCCGTTAGTAAACACGGTTAGGGAATCTACAGTTGTGGAATCGAACGAGACACCGAAGGCGGTTGCGGCGCCGGAGTTTGGGGTTTCACAGAGTAGGAGGCAGGTGTATGCAAGGAATGGCAATGCGGCGGTGCGCGGAGGATTGGCTCGTCTCCCATGTGAGGTCACCGTGACTTCTTCTGTGGACGGCGGCTCGAGAGCGAGTTTCAGCTCCAGCGCCGAGCCAAGTCCGCCGAATGAGAAGGCTCCGCAGTCGGAGGCGGCGGAGGACCGAAAGCGGAAAGCCAGAGAAGACGACGATAACGAGTGTCAAAGTGAGGTGAGCAATAGCTAATTTCTTTTTTTCCTTTTTAAAAGAAATAATAATAAAAAAAAAAAGTAAATGACCAAAATAAAATAAAATAATTAATGATAATAGGTAAATAATTAATGATTAAATAATTTAGTATTGTTATTATTATCTGTAAGTGCTTGGGGAATTGGTGTAACGTGGGGGTGGGGCTCCATCTTTAATAGGGTGCATGTTAGCATTCGGCGCTATTATCTGACGTGTCACTTGTTATATCCACAAATATGTCTACAAAAATAGCATCACGACACGTGGATAGCCTGTTTGCCACGAATTTTTCCACTAGGTGACTGTTAACCCCCCCCCCCCTCGGCCCCTCCCACCCCCAACCAAACCAACCCGACTCAGCACACCGCAAAAATAGAAATATTAACAATTGAATTACCAGACTAAGAATTTCCAAATATTAATAGTTTAAGATGTTGTTAATTAAATTCCCATAAAGTACAATTAGGGCATTGATTTACATAATTAATGTTTGTGACTTTATAGTTAATGATTCCTAACTATCAACTTGATATGAGATAATTTCTAATTTTGGCGGGACCTGTTTTTGATAATTGATTGTAAGCACAATATTTAGTTTCTGGCTTGTGCGTATTGTTTCAGGATTTCGAATATGAAGCCACCGAAGCTAAAAAGCAATCCCGTGGTGCGACGTCAACAAAGAGATCTCGAGCGGCTGAAGTACACAATTTATCAGAAAGGGTTCGTATTTTTTTTGAAGGAGTCCTTTTTTGCGATTCTTTGCTTTCGTTTTTCATGTTTATTTTGTTTGCTTATGTTACGTATTTTCCAACTTATGCAGAGGCGCCGAGACAGGATTAATGAAAAAATGAAGGCGTTGCAAGAACTGATACCTCGCTGCAACAAGGTTAGTAGTGAGTTTCGAATATTGCCTGTCTAATTACCAACTGTGGGGATCACATTTTTCATGGGCTGAGTTGCCGTTTTTTTGATTTGTGAAATACAGTCGGACAAGGCTTCGATGTTGGACGAGGCCATTGAGTACATGAAATCACTACAAATGCAACTGCAGGTTTAGGTTCCCTTCTCCATTTCGCAGAATTTACACTCTTCTCGGTTGTAATGCTAGATTTAGTCATGTTTATGATAAGTTTTCATCAATGGGGGTTATTGCAATTTTTCCTAAATATACCAATTTCTTGAATTATGGAAAAGACAAAAAATATAAAAAAGTTATTACAACTGTTTTGTTTTATGCAGATGATGTCCATGGGATGTGGGATGGTACCTATGATGTACCCCGGTATGCAGCAATACATGCCTACAATGCTAATGGGAATGGGGATGAACCGGCCAATGATGCCGTATCCATCAATGGTACCAGGTTCTCCGATGCCAAATCCGGCGAATATGGGACCTAGATTCCCCATGCCACCAGGGTTTCACCTACCACAAACTCCTTTACCTGATAATTGTTCAAGAATTCAGGGTTCTAATTCTAACGATCCAACGCAAAATTCAAGCCAACCTGGACCCCACAATTTTGTTGATCCGTATCATCAGTTTCTTGGTCACCATCACCAGCAGCAGCAGCAGCAGCAATCGCCACTACCACAGGCAAGTTCGATTGACTTGAGAATAGTTGAGTTGAAATGTATAATCTTGAAATATACAATTTTTTTCTGTTTTCAGCCAGTTTGTTAAGAGTTTTGTTGGTTCATTTTTTTGCAGAATCAAGGAGGGGTGCAACTTACAGCGACGAAGCAGGATACCAATAAAGAAGATCGAAATCCTGAGAATAAGCAATCTGGTAAAAAGTGATTGTAATATACTATCTTTCACACAAGAACATGAATATATGTAGGATCATATGCAGAATGTAATAGATATTTAAGTTATTGTTGGCTGTCTCAGCTTGCAAGTGTAATTTAGACCAATTTTGCTCTCACCAAAGCAGCTCAGATGAAAAGGCTCCTAGACGCCAAATTGTTGCCATAATCTGATTCGAATTGAACCAGGGAAAGAAAACATGAAATCGGGGATAATAGGGGTTAAGATTGAATTGAGTATGTCTTGTATGCATGATTAGTATTCGGGTTCGTTTTCTATCACAGCCTTGAAATCTATACACCAAATGAAGCTCGATCATATTGTATATCATACTTAATCGTAATTTCCAAACGATGTTTACCGACAAAGTAAATGCCGGTTGAAAGGCATGGTTGCCAACTTCTTTTGGTTTGGTTTTTGTTTTCTGCATCAACAACATAAACAGAAAGTCGATGTACAACACTATCGAATTTTGTGAACAGAATAGACGTTTGACGATACATCATAACCACCGCTAAAGCAAAATCTGGCTCTGTGGTCAGAACACCCAAAGATTCATGTACCAATGGTAGACAAAATCTGCAATAATGGGAGTGTATGTCGGTTTTATATGTTATTGATAACTAACAATATATAAGCATGTCCAAAATTGAGCATTTACATAAGCAGGAAGTAGTTTACCTTTTCAGTGAATAAACGGAACGACTCGTCATTCATGGCTCTATCAAGCTCCTATTTGAAAAAGCAAAACATAACAGGTTTTCTAAAAGAGAAACATGACACCCAAAAACTAAAGCAGCAAAAATATACTTACACTCTCGGGATTTGCAGAACAATCGATGTCGCGTATAAGTTTCTGAAGCTTCTCATCTTTTACGGAATCACGGATATCGTTCGATGAAGCTGCACGAAAATCAGACGACCACGTAAAATTCAAGAATTGATGTCGTGAAAAGAATTCCACATTATCCAATGCAGGTACATTCCAAAAGCAACGAATACATTTTAAGCGTATGCGTAGAAACACAATTATAAAATCTTTTTCCGCATATGTAAAATCCACCAGACGGAAAAATGATTTTTCCAATTGAGGCCTTCTCATCCTGCGCAATTGTAATATGAAATTTCGGGGAAATTAGTAAAAATTATACCTATGGACTGAAGTTGCGATTCTTGCAACACCTCACTCTGCTCGTCAACACAACATGGTTTGTCAATATTTCTTGCTGGAACAGAATCTGATACAATAGTCGACACATTATTAGTCAAACAAAATGCTAAGGGCGAAAGTGCTTATAGAATAATCAATAAAGAAGATCCAGACTAGAAACCTTCGGGTTTCTTTTTTTTTTCCCCCTTGTTTTCGACTATCGAGAACATAAATAAAATGCGAAAATCACGACAAAAAGAATCATAAATTGCTGGACCTCACAGATCACAAGACATTTCATTAATTTGCCGAATACATACGATCTTAAAAAACAACAAAATAACGTTTATAAGAAATGTTCGATACACAAGGATGCGACAACCAATTCGAATAATGAAACCCTACGAATTGAAGAAAAAGAAGAAAAAATAGATGAGCAGGATGAACAGAATTCAACCATTGATTGTTTTCACTTGAGATTACACACACACACACACACACACACACACACACACACACACACACACACACACACACACACACACACACGCACACACGAGTAAATCTGGACCATTCACTACAATGAGAAGCTAAATTAATACGGATTCAGTCAATATCAAATGCCTACTGCAAAAACTGATATTCAAAGAGACAATCGGAAGCTAATTAAAACTTACGAACTTTCTCTTCGTTCACGGATTCTGGTTTCGTACAAGGAATTACTGCACACAAACAAACGGCGCAACAGAAATTTCAGTCGGATAAAAGATTTTTTGTAAGCTCTAAAAAAAATCACCAGCTTCTAATCGGCGGCGTACCTTTGTGTTTTTTGAAACAGGCAAGGGAACAACTACGAGCCGTCGCCGGAATTCAAATACAAATCAACGATTATCATCCAATTGTAAAAAAAATCGAAGCTGAAAAAAAAAAGAGCAGCAAAATCAGCTTACTAGGGTATTAAGCAGGTAGGGCACTTGTATTTCGACTGCGATTTGTCACAAACTTCACATTTTTTCGGCGCCATCGTTTGATCAAAGCGGAAAGCTTCTCGATTTTGATTTGCGTTTGGGTTTTGTTACTCGAGGCTCCGCTGTGGATCCATGGTTTTCGGGCCCTGCCCCATATCGAGACCCACTCACGAATGGTATAGTTTGGTGGGCTTCAACTGGGCTGTATTTTGATCCGGATCTTTATCGGGTTCTTTCAATTAGTGATTTTTTTTTTTTTTTTTATCAATAATTAAAATTGGAAGGGAATTTTCGATTTTCACTGATTTCGATTCAAAATTTATCGATTTTAGTACAATATTTTTCATTTCAATTTTCAAAATTTCAGTTTTTTTGGATTAGAACTGGGGTATATGATATTTTATTTTGCAATCCGATTTTAATTTAAGAAAACAAATTTGAAAATTCTAATTTTTTTTTCCAAAAATATACCTATAATATATAAAAATAATTATGTATTTTATATTTTATGTTACTATGTTTGAAAATTTATGAATCTCGCCATTTCCATTTCTAAATTGGAATTATTTTTCTAGAAATGTTAACTTTGATCTGATCCGTTCGAGTTTCAATTTTCCACCCTTATAAGTAATGAGCTCGACGAAATATAACAAGACTAGGTTAACCATGCAACGTGTTGCCAATAATTGAAGTCGGGTGAAGTAGCACTGTACGAGTTATTTTTTACAATATTTGATATTTTTTTACAATAATGTCTATGATATTATAATTAAGGGTAAATTACACCCACACCCCTGAGCTATACTTAAATAACTTTAAGGTCCCTGTGGTATCGATAATTACACTCACCCCCTTGAAACGTAGTGATAAACTCTAATGGTATAATGCATTGGATACATTATTACGATAGAATTCTAATGGACTATTGGTTTCAGAAAGTGGTGCAAACAACAAAGATTTATGGACGATTTAAGAAATATTGGGGGAACCATGTCACCCCATAACTCTATGTTTATCTCCACCACTAGCTAAAAGTAATAGTTCATTAGAACCCTATCGGAATAATGTATCCAATGCATTATCCCGTTAGAGTTTTTAACTACCTTTCAGGGGGGTGAGTGTAATTATCGATACCATAGGGACCTTAAAGTTATTTAAGCATACCTCAGGGGTGTGGGTGTAATTTACCCTATAATTAAATAATTAATACAAATTTTCCAAAAAAAGAAATAATAATAATAATTGATAGAAAGAAAAGAAGCGGGACGAGTTTTACAAATTTATAAACGGAGCGGGTACCCGGGTTTGTGAAACGGGTGACAATTGACATTCTCTCTTGAACAGAAAGACAACTCTCTCTCTCAACAGAACAAACCCCCAAAAACCTTCCAAAAAAAAAAAAAAAAAAAAAAAAAAAAAAAAACCACCCCAAAAAAAATCTCCAACCGTAATTACAGAGGAGAATCATGGGTCAGGGTGCACCAGCCGGACTAAATCGTCCGCCCCGCGGAGAGAAGAAAAAGGACGGCGATAAGAAAGAAAAGAAATTCAAGCCGGCAGCGCCACCGGCTCGAGTCGGCCGGAGGCAGCGCAAACAGAGGGGATACGGTGCCGCGGCTCGCATACCGGCGGTGACGCCGCTGGCGAAGTGCAAGCTGCGGCTTATGAAGCTGGACCGGATCAAGGACTACTTGCTCATGGAGGAGGAGTTTGTGACGAGTCAGGAGAGATTGAATCCGCGGCTGGAGAAAAAGGCGATAAATCGTTCGAGGATCGACATCTTCAGAGGATCGCCGATGCGTGTCGGGCGTTTGGCGGAGATGATTGACGAGAATCACGCCATTATTTCGCAGGGGTACTATGTTACCGTCTTGTCTTTTGTGGATAAGGATCAGCTGGAGCCTGGATGTAAGATTCTTCTGCACGACAAGGTATATACATATTTAACTGCAATTGAATTCACTAGAGATGTTGAATTTGGGGAATTAGGGTTTTTTAATATCTCGGTGTTTAAACAGAAAAAATAGAAATAATGTGAGGAAATATTTCATAAAAAAAAATTATTTCTAGTTTTACTGCAAATGGGGTACTCTGAATTTGGGCTACAAAAATTTTCTGGTGTATCAGTTATGTAAGACTAACTTTGAATTGGGGTACTCTGTACTTGGGCTCAATCCTGATGGAACAGCTTCAGCACTAGACCGAACACCATTATACTCGAGAGTGTTCGTTCGGATGATTTGGTTCTGTATATCATTAGCTAGTATTTCTAATTACGGGGTTCTGATGTTCTAGGGCCCACCAAAGAAAGGGAAATGCATATATGTGAGTTTGCAAGAAATAAGTTTTGGAAAAATTTCGTACTATGAGAGGGACTTCTTGGGGGTTGAAACGGAGGGTTTTAATAGCTAATACTGTTGAATTCATCAGTGAATTATGCCTTATCTATAACCACGTTTGCAGTTGCTTTCTGTTGTTGGATTGCTACAAGATGACGTGGACCCCATGGTGTCCGTTATGAAAGTCGAGAAAGCTCCGTTGGAGACTTATGCTGATATTGGCGGTCTTGATGCCCAGATTCAAGAAATCAAAGAGGCGGTCGAGCTTCCGTTAACACACCCGGAATTGTATGAAGATATTGGTGTTAAACCTCCAAAGGGTGTCATACTCTATGGAGAACCTGGAACTGGAAAAACTTTACTAGCTAAGGTATGTTTATATTCGACACTTTATGTGCGTTAGTTTGTCTGTCTCGTCTAATGATACAATTGCCGTCCTTATGATACCGTGGTTTCTCTTTTTTACCATCTTTCGTTTCTTCTGTCAAATGTTATGTTTATAGTTCACATTTTTTTTCATTTATTTTAGAGTGGAAAAATGCCATATATATGTTACTATTTGAGAAAATTTCTTCACGTCAACCGATAAGCATTAATCATTATTCTTTTTGATCCCGTATGTTGGTTATTTCCGATTAGAGTTTCTTTACTTGATCGAATAAATTAGCTGCATTACAATACATCCTCAAGTTTGGTGCATGACAAGTCTGTAATTGCTGATTGTTTCGATAAAATCTATAGGCCGTGGCAAATTCCACATCAGCAACTTTCTTGCGTGTCGTTGGAAGTGAACTAATCCAAAAATATCTGGGAGAAGGTCCCAAGCTGGTGAGAGAGATTTTTAGGGTTGCTGATGACCTTTCACCATCTATCGTCTTTATTGATGAAATTGACGCAGTGGGTACAAAAAGGTAATTTCAAGATGAATACTGCTATTTAAAATTTTGAAATAGGTATTTATTTAGAAAGATCCTTTCTACTGCAGGTACGATGCCCGCTCGGGAGCTGAACGTGAAATTCAGAGGACAATGCTGGAGTTGTTGAACCAATTAGATGGTTTTGATTCGAGAGCTGATGTCAAAGTAATCCTTGCCACGAATAAAATAGAAAGCCTTGATCCTGCCCTGCTTCGACCTGGTAGAATTGACCGGAAAATTGAATTCCCTCTTCCTGATATCAACACGAGGAGGCGTATTTTCCAGGTTTGCATGGCTTATGATTTTCTTTTTTTCTGGTTTAATAACAAGGTATGAACTGGTGTGAAAATAAATATATATTTTGAATTTTTAGATCCACACATCGAGGATGCCGTTGTCTGAAGATGTTAACCTAGACGAATTTGTAATGACGAAAGATGAGCTTTCCGGAGCAGATATCAAAGCTATATGTACTGAAGCTGGCTTGTTTGCCTTGAGAGAGCGACGCATGAAGGTTAGTTAACTTCCTTAACTAAGATATTCAGAATTATTACCATTTTATATTTAGTTTAGAGAAAATAATTCTTACCACCATTAGAGGATGCAAGAAAATTATCTTGATGCTTTGGTGTTTATTTTTGTTTTTTTTTTAATCATTATTATTATTATTGAACGTTAGTGTTGTTACTGGACTTATATTAGACATTTACAAATTCAATTTTACGTTGTTTAGGTGACGCATCCAGATTTCGAGAAGGCGAAAGAGAAGATTATGTACAAAAAGAAAGACGGCGTTCCCGAGGGGATGTATACATGATGATGATTACGAAGCTCCGTCTGTCACCTTTTTTTAAAGCAATTTACGTAACTTCCATTCTGCGTCATTCTTAAAAAGCTTCGAAACCATTTCACAAGAGAATTAAAGTGCGATAAAATAGAAGTTCCGTATGGCTGAAATTTGGTTGATGCCTATAGTAACCTTCATATTTTGTACAGCTTGTTAATTTTTTAGGAGTGGTTGGAAAATCAGTTTCTAGTTCAATCTGATTTCGTACATGATAAAGTTAGATATTGCATTCTTCGGTACATGGATGTAAAAAGTTCAGATTGTTATAAGGTTAGCTTCACTATAATGATATTCGTTCTTAATGTTCAGCCCTACAAAATGTGTAAGCATGAAAATTGCCATTGGACACAATTGGCTAATCCAATTTGCCATTTTTACCTTGTTCGTCTTTCAAGAACCGCAAAAACCAATAAGCAGAAGATTTGAGATGTCGGGTCAAGCCGTTTCGGTAGTCAACGTAAATAAGACCGAACCGCTTGGTATATCCAAGATGCCACTCAAAGTTGTCCATTAAAGACCATGCAAAATAGCCCCTCACATCGCATCCATCCCTATTAATCAATTTACACACAACACAAACTTAGATTCAGATTTTCAATATCTGTTTTCCCTATTAAACGAAGCACAAGAAATAGTGTTAACTCACTTAATTGCTTGATGAACTGCTGCAAGGTACCCCTTGTAATACGAAACGCGTAATTTATTATCCAGCCTCTCATGGAATGGAGATGTGGAATCATCTTCATCATCCATACCTGTAGTAACAGAGTATCAGGAAATTTTTCAGATTTTATTACACAATCAAGACTTCTTCGAGTAATAAAACATATTGAAATTATTCGTTTTTTTTTTTGGCAAAGGACGTACCGTTTTCAGTTACGTACACCGGTGGGTTGTTGTACCTTGTACAAATGTAATTGAGAACTTTCCGTAAACCCCAAGGTACAATGTAAAGCCAAGATGAGGCTGCCTGCATGTAGATAAAAGAAAATTAATAAATAAACAAGTATAATTTATTATTTGTACATAAGAAATAAACAGAAACAAATTATCCCACCTTCTCGCCTATCATCTCTCCACCTTCCCATTCAGCTACAGATGTAACAATAAAAGAGTGAGTCCTATTCGGGTTTTTCAAGAAAATAAATTGATAAGTAACTATAACTGAAAATGACCGATTTTGCTTTTACCAATTCTATCTGCCTCTTGGACTCTATAGAAATCATTATCTTCAAGGTCCGTTTTTGCATGACGAACAAACCTAGTTGTGTAATGATTTAGACCAACGAAGTCTATGGAGTTATTGAGCAACTCTTTATCCCTCTCCGAAAAATGTGGCAGGGAATCTCCGAGCTTTTCACGCATTGTTTCGGGATAATCCCCGTAATAGATTGGATCCAAGTACCTATATCAGAGATAATAAATGAATACCAACTTATTTGATTTTTCATCAGAAATTGAATGTTAATAGCATGTCCTTCAACTGCCAAACAATTGATTAAAAAATGATAAATAATTAATAAGAAATTACCATCCGAGCTGAAAATCGAGACGCCTGGTTGCAGCATTTCTGTCTTCTATACTATCCGATAGAGCCTCTGACCATTCACAGTCCACAACTAAGCCTATTTCTCCTCCTTGCTTATCCTATCATGATAGCACCATTAGATTTGATTATTCATCACCAATTAAGAAAAATAGTTGAGAATAATTCAATTAAAAATCTTATATCATATGATCAGCTGACAAAGTAACAGACCGAGAAAATTAAAATTTTATTGCAGTAGAAATAAGATAAGTAACCTATAATGAATGTAGTTTTGAATTGCACAGTTGATGTAAAAAATGATATATGCAACTTTTAATCACAATATAAAAATGTATACCTTGTATTTATTTTTATAAATGGAAACAGCTTCAGCGTGCGCTAAGAGCTGATGATGAGCAACTAAATACATTTCACTTGAAGAATTCCCACATTTTCCAGGGGCATACACTCCAGTACAGTAACCATTCACAGCAGTTTGAAGAGGCTCATTTATTGTTATCCAATTTTTCACTCTATCGCCGAAATTAGAAAAACAGGTTTCTGCATAGATGGCAAAGTATTTTCTAGATGCGACAAGAAAATAAATAAATAAATAAAATAATTAGCTTGAGATTTGGACGACTTACTACTTGAAATCTGGGTAAAATACTTCACTGATGTTATCCAATTAAAAGAACCAAGAAACTTACACAATTTGTTCATTTAACCAACCACCCATGGAGTTGAGAAGATTTAGAGGAAGATCCCAATGGTAAAGTGTTACATACGGCTGAATATCTAAAAAATAACATTAATAGTTATTTAAAGAAGTGGCAAAAAAACAGATAATGGTAAAGAAAAAACTTGAAACCGTACCGTTTTCTATAAGTGCATTGATGAAATTGTTGTAGTGCCTTATCCCTTCAAGATTGATTTCGGTCCCGAAACCATCTACAAATATTGAACGTTAAAAATGGGGCCAATTAGACACGAGTAGTGAAAATCTCATTATTGCATGCATAGTATAATAGATTTTTTTCACACAGAGAAAAGAAAACGATATACAATTAGTGAGTTTTTGACGCACCACAGTGTGATCTTGACATAAATACACAGAAATGAAAGTCGAAATTTGCTATAAATTCAAGAAAGATAAAGAGGATGGACATTGATTTTACGAGACATGACTTTGACGATAATATATCTCTCTCAAGCATAAAAACCCCGAAGTTATGGTTTCCTTGACCAAGATACATCATATGGCTGTTGTTCTACTGAATTCGATACTTCCAAATATATAATTCTTAAATCTAGCAGGGTAAAAAGAAAGAACTAAATAAGATCATTTCGACACATGATAGATAAGAGTAATTCCATCCAGAAACAAAATATTATTTACCTGGAAAAATACGACTCCATGATATGGAAAATCGGTAAGCTTTAAACCCCAACTTGGCTATCAGCTCAATGTCTTCCTGAGAAAAACAGGAAACCAAAATAACAGATGGATTAACCAAAACAAGGCAGAATCGGGATTGACCTGAACTAAAATCACATTAAAGTTGGAATACCTATAAGGTTGTGTTTGGGACTCACTGAAATTGCTTAAAGAAGTCAAATTCTAGTACGAAAATACAACTATTTAATGACTTACTACAATAGAATTTGAAATAACTAGCTCCGAACATATTCAATGCAAAACACACTCTAAACTTATATAAATCGACTTAAAGAGAGTATGCACCTTGTACCGATGATACTTGTCCACAGCAACATCTGCATTGCTTCCATCACAGATATTGCCTACAAAAAATTCACTTTAAGTTCATGCAAAAACTACCTCAAAAAAAAAAAAAAGGGAAATTCATTTCGAATACGCAATACATTTCCAGTGCTATCTGATTGGACAAATAAAGAGCAGTATTTACCAGGAACATGGGCAAAAGAATCCCAAATACTGGAACCCTTGCCATCCTCATTCCAAGCCCCTTCAACCTACATTGTATTCCTCTTAGGGCACAATATACTCTGAAGAACAAATTGGAAATTGTACTTCACTTTCTAGCCGATTGTAAAATCTTCTTCACCGAGCAACATAATCAACTAATTTTGAATTTACTTTCGCGAAGGTGTTTGAAAATGGCATAATAAATTAATTCAAATTAGATCACAAATAAAATCAAAGTTGCCACACTCGATAGGATCTATTCAAACTCGTTTGGATTCGACGAAGTAGGTAAGCATAAAATCATGTGGAAAAGGCACCTGGAAAGCAGAGGTGGCGACGCCGAATGTGAAGTGGGGAGGGAAGTCGGGTCGGGTCAGGGATAGGTAAATGGAGCTCCATTCTTCCTCTATCTTTCTCTTCTTCTCCAATCCATCAGCTAAAATTGTGGTCCCCATTTCTGTGTGATTTCTCTTCCTTTTCTTCTTCCACAGAACAAGTATACTTCTACTTCACTCTTAATTTGCTGCCGCCTGCCGATATGCAAATTACGAATTTACAATTAAAAAGCGCGTGAGGCTCACGCTTCTTAAAAGCTCACATTTTGGAGCGAGTTTCCATAATGCGTTTTTTTTTTTCTTTTTTTTTTTCTTTTTTAATTAATTTAAGGGTTATTTTACAAAATAGAGTTGATTCTCTAAAATATTCATTCGGTTTCTTTTGTAGTGTAATTTATAATACATGCAATGATGCAAACCAATTTTTTATTTTATTAAATAGTCTTCATTTATCAATAAATTTATACGTAATTAAGGCTAAATCCCCATAATTTTTATTTTTATTTTAGAATTAATCCCATAAATTAACCAAGCAAATTAAATATTCAACAAACACTTTTACAAGATAAGCGCTAATACAATTCAAACAAAAATCAACGTAAACATAATACACTAAAACGCACTTAAAAAGTGGTAACAAATTTCATATTTTTGTATATATTATACGGAAGCATAACTTCAAGGATAAGGCAGGCCGCCACCAATGCCGCCAAGATTTCCCAAGCCGCCGCCACCATCACCGCCACCAATATTACCCAAGGCGCCACCAAGACCACCAGTTGGTGAAGTCCCGATAAAAGCTCCGAAGCCACCGAATCCATTGATCCCACCAAGCCCACCTCCGGCGCCTACTCCACCACCTACGCCGCCATATGGTATCCCATCACCGCCAACTCCAGTGTAGCCGCCGACGCCTCCAAAAGAGGCAAAGTTCTTTTGGTCGGCGAGACCAGCTGCTGCATTGTCACCGGGGACAACCCTAGCTGCGGCATGATGAGCCGCCGCAATAAGATAAACAATCACAAACATAAAACCCCACCTCGCCATTTAATTTCTCTCTCTAGATCTCTCTCTCTCTCTAGAGCTCCCAAATACAAATACTAAATTGAGGCTTTGCTTCTCCTTTTTAAAGACATTGGCACAAGACTAGAAGAGTGGACATAGTGAGCTTTTTACTGTTGATCTACACACATTAGTGTGGGTTCGTGTGTTTGTATATGAATGGTAAAGATTTGTTCGATATATTTTACCCGATGTAGCACAGTAGTACAAGTGTCACTGTAATTAATGATATATATGATAGAAATTGACGAGGAAAAGTATGCATGCGTGATGAGCAATGAGCATGAACTCATCTAAATGAGCTTTCTTCAAATTAAATGATATATATATGTAAATTTAGTGCACCCACATGAAATTGTTAGCCTCCTTTAATTGCCGGCCCTTATTGCATGCTCTTCATAAAGACACAAATTTAACATAGTATATATAGCATGTTTCTTGATAAAATATGTCGACTCAAATTTAATGTTGTTTCAATTTTCTAGTTTTAGGTTACGTTGCTCAACATTGTTTTTTTCAGACCAGCCCTCATTAGGAGAGTTGGTACCTAGTCTTTACCAATAGCGTAAAGGTCTAGGGTTCGAGTCGCCCCTCCCCTACTTCCCCCTGTAATGAACTTGAATTTACTCAAAAAAGAAAAAAAAAAAAAAAAAAAAAACATTGTCTTTTTCAGAAGAACATTTCAATGTAATAGTCGGGTCAGATTGAGTAATATTGCGTAAGTGTTTGGATTAAGTTGAATCTTGTGAACCGAACATATTAGTGACTTCTACTATTTAGTTAATTAGATTTAATACTCGCAACGGAATACTGTTCATTATCATATGACGTTTTATATACAAAACAAATTAAAGACAATATATAAATAGTAATAATATATTATAATGGCTTGTAAAGAACTATTGAAGCTCCAAAAATAAGAATCAAGGAAAAGTGACATTACATATATTGCAAAATACATTATTTAATAGGTATTAATTAATAAATGGGAGACTAATTAAATCAACGAGTGCAGCCACATAATTTGGAATTATCTTTGAAAGTAACACACTTGCCCTTGGAATATCCAGCTCCAACGCAAACCTTGTTGCAGTTTCCATCTGCTGGACATGGGCCCACATACCAAATCCAACCATCACCTCCTGCTTTTTCTGAGTTAAAAAAAAAAAAATAGAATAATATATATTAATATATTTTTAATTTTATAAATAGAGGTCTTTATATAATTTAATTAATTTTTCTATCTAAAAATGAATTCTATGTTAAATCCCAAAAAAAATGGAGGGCTCGGCTCCTGGCTAATTGTTTAGTAGACTTAGAGGTGGGAATCGGACAGATCGGATCGGAATATGCACTTTTGGAAAGAAAAAAATGACTTTTTTCCGGGAGTGAAAAATTCATTACAATTACGTTCCAAAGAAATCGAAAATCGGAATGTCGGAATTTGGATCAAAGTCGGTGGAAATCGGAAAATTCCATTTTTTCAATCACTAAAAATGTGTAATATGAATGTAATTTTCGGAGAAAATCGAAATTTTTGGAATTAGTTTAGGAAATCAGGATTCCATATATGTTCTAATTCCAATCCAAAAAAAAATCCAGATCGAAATCTGCGGGGAAATCGAAAATTTCGTTCTAATTTCCACCCTAAGATATATATACACATCACTTATGCATTCTCTTCAGAAAAAAAAACCCCAAGATATAAATTATTAAATTCATAAATATATTTATAATTAAGTATAAAAAACAATTATTGGATCTTAAATTAAAAAATATAATTTTACCTGAGGTTTTTTCAGTAGTTGTAGAGCTTACGACTAACGCCATTGCCAAGCAAACAATCATAACTTCAATCAGACATTTTCTCATAGATGCCATTGTTAATCTCTCTTTCTACACTGTTTTCCTATATATCCTGGTGTTAGAATCTAATTGGATTCTAATAAACAAGGGCTGAGTAAAGACTTGTGCAACAAGTCCTATGTACCGTGAAACACAAAAGGGAAGTCTCCTTGTTTACGTAAATTCTTTAATTTGTCATTAATTGTTTCTTTTATATAGAAAACTATTTTATTAATCAAAAAGAGTTTTTGTACACCAAGACTACCCAATAGTCCTTGTGCGTATAATTTTTCAAGAAGGAAAAGATTTACCACGTTATCTTTTATATTTTATTGTCATTAATTGGTTGTTTGTTTACATGGGAATTCCCATTAAATTAGGATGACAATATTTTAATAAGGCATGGACTCTTATTCCATATCTTTTAACAAGATAATTCCTTCTACGTCTCTAACCTTGTAAAACCTAATACAGGAGTGTTCCTAAACTATAAAAGAAGAAGCAGGAACATAATACGGCTTGTGCGTTTTTTTTTGAGAGAAGTCGATCTCTCTCTTCTTGGTTGCTGTTGCACGCCTTTTGTTGGAGAAGAAAAATTATATTTTTCTGCTCTTATTTTTGCTGCACCTGGAGCGTCTTTTTTATCGAGAGAAGATTTCAGAGAAATATTTTTCTTCCTCTCGTTTTTATTGCTCCATCGTGATACGTGATTTTCATAGAAAATATATCGGCTTCAAGGCTTTGTGGTGAAGACACCAAGATTCAAGGAGTATCACAAGTTTGCTTCTTCTATACAAAAAGAAGATCGGTTCTTCGGGAGAGGGGCTTAAACAGATCTCGGGAGGAGATCGATCCGCCGACTGAGGGATTCAGCGTTGAAGGGAGTTCAACCGTGCGGAGCAAGGGACGTGCTGCAAATTGAAGATTTATAATTCAGCGTAGTTTACAAGAACGGCGTCAACAAAGAGGGAGTCTTTGTATTTTGATTAAGTCCTATTATTGTATTCGTAAAACTAAAAATTAGTAAATTTTATTTGCAGGTCCCCGTGGATGTAGGGTACAATTGTATCCGAACCACATTAAAATTTGTGTCTCGTTTATTTCTGTTTTTACGAACTGTTTCACGAACTGTTGCAACACTTCACGCAACAGTAACGAAAAACTGAAATTGACACAAATAATTTATATCTGCACGAAATAAATTCTAACAATTGGCATCAAGAGCCTGTCACTAGATACATTTATTGTTATAATTTGGTATGCCAAATTAATAAATTGTATAAAATTAAATGGACAGCCTGTAAAAAATCCTTGATTCTTTTTTATTAATTATATCGAATTTAATTAATCTTTGCATAATTGTATATGAATGTTAGACTAATTATAATTAATTTGGTATGGAAAGTTGAATGGAAAATCCTTTGTTATTTATGCAAAATCCAATTTGCTTAATCTAATTAATGTGTTTGATCTTAATAACGACTTATTTAAAATTTTATCGGGATATGGGCTTCTTTCGTGTGGTATGAGTTCTTTTATAGTGGGCCATTTCATTAGGCCCAATTGTTTATAAGAATTGGTTATTACTTAATTCTTTTCAATTTTATTTATCAAGTAGTGAAGGGTAATATTGACAAATCGATCCCTCGGTACTAGGATAAAGTTAGAATACATAATTGATGCAAATTTCTACAAATAGAAATATTTTTATAAATTATAAATACAGAGGTTTAGGGAGTAATTCATTTTTCTGAATATCTGAAAAAGAGAATATTCGGAAAAAATGGAATCAAAGAGAGTTAGTTATGCCACTATTTTCATTGGTCTATTTTGCATTGGTTTGCTCTCAAATTCAGGTAAATTCACATAACATTTTATTTTCTTATTAATTTATTTATTTGCGAATATAAATATGAATTTCGTTAAATTTCGTTACTTGAAAAGGAGATTCTTTACGGTTTTTTATTTTTTTGAGTTCCAGTTGCAGGTGATGATGCTTTTATTTATCAAGGACCATGTTTTCAGTTTCAAGACTGTAACAAACAGTGTACCGATCAAAAAGAATTTAAAGACTTTGGCGGGGAATGTATTAAACTTACCGGCGACGGAGATGCACCTTTAGTGTGTGTGTGCTTCACTCATCACTGATCTACGTACATTAATCTTGGATTATGTATGTATGAACTCGTTATTTTCTTTGTCTACACGAGTTCTTGAAAATTGAAATAAATAAATAAAATAAAATGTATGACGGTTGGTGGAGTTAATCACATTGGTTTCTATGTTGGTGTGTAACGGGTTAGTCTACCTAATTTTTATTATTTTTTATCCACCCAAAATATTCAAAATATGCAAAAACAATCCTAATTTTTTCATATTCTAATTTCTCCAATAATTAAAAATGGGTCCAAATTTTTTTTCGAGTGCCCCTAAACCCTCGAAAATTCAAGCCTAATATTATTAAAAATCTCAAGAATATATATTTTTTGGAAAAATAAGTGATACACGCATAAATGCATATCAAGATATAAAACCTTTTATTAAAATTTAGTTAATATGATTTAATAGTGGCAACTGAATAATGCTCTAATATTAATTATTTATTTTTAGATATTGAATATTGATATGATCTCTTCCAAATCGAGAAATAAGATCTTTCAAATATTGTCAACTGATAATATCCAAATTATTGTGAATAATAGTTACCAAATATATATATATAAAATATTTTTCTTAAATATATTAACTCGACATTGAGTACTCGTATCGCGATTATTGATATGAAATAATAAATACAATACAAAGTTTAAATGGATAATCCGATTTAGAGAGCCCGTATATGGGATGACATAAATAACCCATATCTTTGTGTTTATTTCTTAGATTATTTTTATTTTTTTTTTATTTTTTTTTAAATATTGAGGTTTTTAGTACTTCATTTTCACACAATTCATTTTCTGGTCACTCATTCTCTATTATATCGAAAGAGAGAATATTCCGAAAAATGGAATCGAAAAGAGTCGTTGGTTGTTTCATTGGTCTACTTTGCATCGCTTTCCTCTTCAGCTCAGGTAAATTCATCAATCTCCAGTGTCGATTTATTCAACGAAATACGGAATTTATTTATAATTGAAAAAATAATTAACGATTTTTTATTTTCTTTTTCAGTTGTCGTGGCCGAGGACACTTTAATTATTCAAGGGCTATGTTCG